TGTGCGCGAGCTACATGAGAAGATTGACTTTACACTCCCCTCATTTGTCTTTCTAGTATTACCTCAGAGTTTGGGATTGGGAACAAAAAATCAGCTAAACAGTTTGTAACCTGAACAAGACCAAATCCCACGACCATGTGTCTGAAATTGCTCCAGTAATCTGCATTTTCCTTAAAGCATAAAATGTGGAAGCAGTTTAGTTGTATGGGAATGCTACGTTACGTTCTGTCTACAAGTATTCAACAACAATCAACATACAAACATACAGCATTGGACAAATACCCTGCTCTTATACTTCAGTATAAAAAGACTCTGTTACAAGCAAAGTCCTGCTTTCAAAATCTTACTGAATTAAAAGAATTAGCAATGGCCCATTTCATAATAAAACAGGCTATATTATCTAATATTATTGAATTATAATTCTTTATTTATAAGGAATTATTACCTTTGATGTGTGTTCATTTGAATGTTAAAACATACAGAAGCCAGAGGAATTTAAGAGCAATAATATTCTGTAAAATGTAAAAACAAGTTAAAGGTTCAAAGTGAAATACGCCTGGCAGCTCATTCCAGGTTTGCAGGGCGTGAAAGGAAAGGCAGATCCCCAATCACCCGAACAGAGGGTGATTTAGGGACATCACGAGGAGAAAACTCTCTGATCAAAGAGTTAGATTACATGTCAGTAAACTGGATATATATGTACTGCAGTAACATGTCAGTACACTGGATATGTACTGCAGTAACATGCCAGTAAACTGGATATGTACTGCAGTAACATGTCAGTACACTGGATATGTACTGCAGTAACATGCCAGTAAACTGGATATGTACTGCAGTAACATGTCAGTACACTGGATATGTACTGCAGTAACATGCCAGTACACTGGATATGTACTGCAGTAACATGTCAGTACACTGGATATGTACTGCAGTAACATGTCAGTACACTGGATATGTACTGCAGTAACACGTCAGTACACTGGATATGTACTGCAGTAACATGTCAGTAAACTGGATATATATGTACTGCAGTAACATGTCAGTACACTGAATATGTACTGCAGTAACACGTCAGTACACTGGATATGTACTGCAGTAACACGTCAGTACACTGGATATGTACTGCAGTAACATGCCAGTAAACTGGATATGTACTGCAGTAACACGTCAGTACACTGGATATGTACTGCAGTAACATGTCAGTACACTGGATATGTACTGCAGTAACATGTCAGTACACTGGATATGTACTGCAGTAACATGTCAGTACACTGGATATGTACTGCAGTAACATGTCAGTACACTGGATATGTACTGCAGTAACATGTCCAGTACACTGGATATGTACTGCAGTAAACATGTCAGTACACTGGATATGTACTGCAGTAACATGTCAGTACACTGGATATGTACTGCAGTAACATGTCAGTACACTGGATATGTACTGCAGTAACATGTCAGTACACTGGATATGTACTGCAGTAACATGTCAGTACACTGGATATGTACTGCAGTAACATGTCAGTACACTGGATATGTACTGCAGTAACATGTTCAGTACACTGGATATGTACTGCAGTAACATGTTCAGTAAACTGGATAGGTACTGCAGTAACATGTCAGTACACTGGATATGTACTGCAGTAACATGTCAGTACACTGGATATTGTACTGCAGTAACATGTCAGTACACTGGATATGTACTGCCAGTAACATGTCAGTAAACTGGATATGTACTGCAGTAACATGTCAGTAAACTCGATATGTACTGCAGTAACATGTCAGTAAACTGGATATGTACTGCAGTAACATGTCAGTAAACTCGATATGTACTGCAGTAACATGTCAGTACACTGGATATGTACTGCAGTAACATGTCAGTAAACTGGATATGTACTGCAGTAACATGTCAGTAAACTCGATATGTACTGCAGTAACATGTCAGTAAACTGGATATATACTGCAGTAACATGTCAGTACACTGGATATGTACTGCAGTAACATGTCAGTACACTGGATATGTACTGCAGTAACATGTCAGTAAACTCGATATGTACTGCAGTAACATGTCAGTACACTGGATATATACTGCAGTAACATGTCAGTACACTGGATATGTACTGCAGTAACATGTCAGTACACTGGATATGTACTGCAGTAACATGTCAGTAAACTGGATATGTACTGCAGTAACATGTCAGTAAACTGGATATGTACTGCAGTAACATGTCAGTAAACTGGATATGTACTGCAGTAACATGTCAGTAAACTGGATATGTACTGCAGTAACACGTCAGTACACTGGATATGTACTGCAGTAACATGTCAGTAAACTGGATATGTACTGCAGTAACATGTCAGTACACTGGATATGTACTGCAGTAACATGTCAGTAAACTGGATATGTACTGCAGTAACATGTTAGTAAACTGGATATGTACTGCAGTAACATGTCAGTAAACTGGATATGTACTGCAGTAACATGTCAGTAAACTGGATATGTACTGCAGTAACACGTCAGTACACTGGATATGTACTGCAGTAACATGTTAGTAAACTGGATATGTACTGCAGTAACATGTCAGTACACTGGATATGTACTGCAGTAACATGTCAGTAAACTGGATATGTACTGCAGTAACATGTCAGTAAACTGGATATGTACTGCAGTAACATGTCAGTACACTGGATATGTACTGCAGTAACATGTCAGTAAACTGGATATGTACTGCAGTAACATGTCAGTAAACTGGATATATACTGCAGTAACATGTCAGTACACTGGATATGTACTGCAGTAACATGTCAGTAAACTGGATATGTACTGCAGTAACATGTCAGTACACTGGATATGTACTGCAGTAACATGTCAGTAAACTGGATATGTACTGCAGTAACATGTCAGTACACTGGATATGTACTGCAGTAACATGTCAGTACACTGGATATGTACTGCAGTAACATGTCAGTAAACTGGATATGTACTGCAGTAACATGCCAGTACACTGGATATGTACTGCAGTAACATGTCAGTACACTGTGTCAATTGGCACACAATATTGTGAGTGACCTGAGGCACCCTCTTGCCTCTTACTTTGAACTGTTGCCATCCGGGCGGAGATATCGTCCCCCTCTGTTCAAAAAGAACAGATCTCGGCTGTCTTTCGTCCCACAAGCCATCAAACTCCTAAATAAATGATGGCTAGGACGCACTGTTTACCCAGCTGGTCTGGCCCTGTCCCCCCTATTTCGCAAATGAGGGCCTATTCAATTCAATTCAATTCAAAACCTTTATTTATCCAGGTAAAATCCCATTGAGATCAATGATCTCTTTTTCAAGGGAGACCTGCAGCAGTAGGTTCCACAAGAAGACATAAACAACAGAACAACAAAAGGACATCATACAGCAAAATGTACAGGGATTACAATTTACATATTTAACCACATGTACAGGTACCAACAGCATCTGATTTTGTAGCATCCAACCGAGCTTTAAAAACATGTAGTGGTACTAGCTTAGTAATTTTCCATTCTTTTTGCAGACTGTTCCATGTTAGTGGAGCTGCACATCTAAAAGCTTTCTTCCCTAAGACAGTCCTAGCACTTGGCACATTTAATAAAACCACAGCATGCGATCTCAGGCAATAAGTACTTTCAATTCGCAGAGATGCCTATAGGCCCCTTTGTCATGTCTGCCGATATCTGGTTTTCTTATGTCTGTTTGTTTTAATCTGTGTCTATGTTGTTGTCAGTGACGTATTGTCTTATCTTTTTAAATGCCTTTGTGATGTGCTGCAACCCATTTTCCCCTCGGGGACAAATAAAACGAATACTACTAATGTCAGTAAACTTCATATATATGTACTGCAGTAACATGTCAGTAAACTTCATATATATGTACTGCAGTAACATGTCAGTAAACTTCATATATATGTACTGCTTTACCCAGGAAAGCTGTTGCTATAAAATGTTGTAGATGGATTTTTCTTTTTAAACACAAGAAGTCACAATGATGGCCGAGGTACTTTACACAGGTTTCAAATTGGAGAACGAGAGACTTTATTCGTAAGAGATGAACATGCATGTATAAATGACAGTTAAATTATTAAAAATATAGTTAACAGTTTCTAAAACTACAGGACGTAATATTGCGTGACTTTTGGTTGCATGTTAAGGGTAAATTAACAATAAAAATGGTGGGACTCTGACAACCTTTGTTTGAATCCTGTTTCCCACCATCAGTAAATATTTCTTTCTTAATCTTCCCTTAACCTCGAACAAAGAGAATATTTACCAAGATTTAACCAAATAGTTTACAGAGATCAGTCATTCATTCTTTATTCAATAGTCATTTTAGGCCTGGCCCGATTGAAGGAGAATGACAAGTGATCAGTCATGGCAGACGTACTCAGATGTTGTATTTGAGTAAGATTAGCTACACGTTATTGGGAAAATACTAACAATGGAAAAGTCCTGTATTCAAAATCTTTCTAAAGTAAAAGGACAAAAGAATTAGCATCAAAATATACTTGAAGTACCAAAAGTAAAAGTAATCATAATGAGTTAAGGCCTATTCAAGAATCATATGTTTTAAATGATTGTGTTATAGTTATTGATCCATTCATGTGTTCATCACTTCAATGTTCAGCTCGGTAAAGGTGGGGTTTATTTGAATACCGCTGGATGGCTATATTTATAACCAAATATTATACATTATTATTGAACTAGCTAGAACCTTAAGAAGTTGGATACATGTAGTAAAGTAAAAAGTACTACAATAGTTGTCTCAAATATAATGGAGGATAAGTATAAAGCTTCATAAAGTGTGAAAAAAATACTCAAGAGAAGTCAAAGTGTACTTCAAATGTGACTTTAACTACAGAACCATAGTACATGTATTTAGATGCATTTCAAATGATATCTCATTCTGTCTACCAGCATGCATATAAAAGGTGTTTTTGTAAGTATGTAATAATGTTTTTGTCCCGCTCTGTCCTCAGGAGGTGGAGGCGGCTCCCTCTCGGAGGTTTCTGGGGACTCACCTTCATCCCGACAACATCCCCGCCTCCTTCAATGAAAAGAAAACTAAAGTAAGTTTTAAAAAGTCTGCAGGCACACAAATAGAAACTCTAAAAGGAAAACAGTGAAAGAGAGAGAGGTTACTTCAATCCTCAAAGGGGAAACACATGAAGACGTGATGGATGTAGAAGTGGCTTTCAAAATACATCGCTATTCTTCCTCAGGTTATCCTTCTTGCAATGAATTAACTTAAAATACAAAATCTATTTATTTTGAATTCACAAAAGGTTCTGTTTTATAATTATCTTTTTGATAGTTATGATATTTTTCAAATAGGAAACACCGCTTGATTGAGTTTGAATGAAATAAAAACGTATGACTATTAAAATAGAAAATAGAATATAATTAAAATCACTATTTTGCCTTTTTAGAAATATCCCAAAGATAGAAGAAAATCAATCATTACTATCCTTTTCAATTCCAATTATATTCATCTCTCCTTTTTGACATCATGATTGATTGATTTCCTCCTTTTTCATTGACTTATTATGAATAGATTGCAGTGAAATGAGCTAAAATGTTTGTTTTAAATGGTGTTGTGTGTGTTACAGATACTGGTGATCTTCAGGAACCCTAAAGACACGCTGGTCTCGTTTTATCATTTCTCCAACAACAACCCGGTGCTGCCCTCAGAGTCCTGGGACTCCTTCTACTCCAACTTCATGAGCGGAGACGGTGAGAAAACACATGCATGACTTGACTGAGAAAAACATTTATAGATAATCATTTGCTGAACAAGCACTCCTACTTAAAATCCATTAGACCACATGGGATTACATTTCAGCCATGATACAAAGAGGTTGCTGAGTGCAAGAGGTCAAGTCATCATTAAACACTTAACCTGCAACATGGGGCTAAAGCAGGGGTGTCAAACTCAATTTAATCACGGGCCTCGTAGGAATTATGGTTGCACTCAAAGGGCCGGTTGTAACTTTAAGACTATATAAAAATACATATATAAATATTGAATATATATAAAATAATGTATTATTGCATTATTGCCTCTGCTTTGGATTATTATCTGATAGGGTAATAACTTCATAATTAACTACGTCTGAAAGCAGAAGTATAGGGCAAGTAATTGCAAGTCTCTTCAGTGAAAATGTCACAAAATGATTTAAAAAGAAAAGCGAAATTCTGGGGGGAAAAAGTGACATTTTGAAAAAAGTGACATTTTGAACAAAAAAAGTGACATTTTGAAAAAAGTGACATTTTGAAAAAAGTGACATTTTGAACAAAAAAACGGACAAAAAAATAAAAGTTCTGAGAAAAGGGGACATTCTAAGAAAAAGGCATATTTTGAAGAAAAAAAGTCAAATTCTGAGAAAAAAGTCAAGAAAAAAAAGTGAAGTTTTGAAGAAAAAAAGTGACATTTTGGGGGAAAGGTGACATTTTGAAGAAAAAAAACGGACAAAAAAATGCTTCTCACGCCTTCACAGGTCAAAGGAGGGCAGCTTATCAGAACGTGCACTGATAACATAACGTCTTAAAACCTAGGGTGCAAAAGTACCAATTTAAAAGTTATCAATTACAGGAGAAAGGTCAAACATATTGGACATTCATTGACATCACAATCATGACATCTAGTTATTATTAAATAGGTTACATGCAAGCCTAATTTCCTGCACAACATGTGTATACTAACATATAATGAGTGCTGCAGAAATGCTGTGTCACTGGAAAATGACTGTGCTCTTAAACGATGAATCACTGTCACCGCCCACAGATTACAGGGCTGTGCAGAGGTGAACCTTCTACTTTCTTTGTCATCTCAATGCCAGTTACTAACAGATCATTGCAAAACGTGTGTCTCTGACATGTGCCACACTTCCAGTCATTTGTCTTCCACTCCTAAAACACACCTACTCAATCAGCTGTGTCAAATATTTACCCAATTGTATTTATATATTCCCTGTCAGATTCTCTATCGTCCCTGAGTCTGGCTTTTTGTTACCGTGTGCTTTCTAATTTGTGTGTGTGTGTGTGTGTGTGTGTGTGTGTGTGTGTGTGTGTGTGTGTGTGTGTGTGTGTGTGTGTGTGTGTGTGTGCGTGTGTGTGTGTGTGTGTGTAGTTGCCTGGGGGTCATACTTTGACCACGCTCTGGCCTGGGAGAAGAGGATGGTCGACCCAAACGTGATGATCGTCACCTACGAGGAGCTGAAACAGGTAGATCACACACTCATCGATGTAAAAACACATTGACTTGTTCTTTCTTATAGTTGCTTCATCATTTCTTCCCTCAATGGATGCAGCCCATTCTTTCAGTTCATTTATTAAAAATCCCAGCCTGCAGATACTTGAGTTAGCTGCAGAGTCACTCATTAAAGGTCCCCTGTTATACGGTTTTTCATCAATATATTACAGGTCTCAGATATATACAGAGCCTTTCTCTGATTGGCTGAAACACCAAACAGATCATTGCAGCATTACCCATAATCCCCTCTGTTTCAGCCCTGTTTCAAAAGTGCTGATTCTCTGTCTGTTACTTTAGATGAAAATAAGGAGCCCCTCCCCACGCCCCTCTGAGAGAGATTTGGTTAAAAAGAACTCAATGGTGCTCTAGGAGGAGATTCAGGTGATAAGGTGTGGGGGGGGGGGGGGGGGGGGGGTTACCTTGGTTGCTGATTGGCTAATGGCTACACAAGACAAAACATCGTTATGACATCATAAAGTGGCCAAAATCTGATCAGCTCATTTTCAGACAGGTTTTTATAGAAATGGATCAAAAAGAGAGAGAATCTTTGTTCCTGAAACTTTCAGAGTCTCTTTCCACAGAGGGGACACATGTTGATGTAGAAGAGACATGAAGAAGAGGGGACACATGTTGATGTAGAAGAGACATGAAGAAGAGGGGACACATGTTGATGTAGAAGAGACATGAAGAAGAGGGGACACATGTTGATGTAGAAGAGACATGAAGAAGAGGGGACACATGTTGATGTAGAAGAAGAGACATGAAGAAGAGGGGACACATGTTGATGTAGAAGAGACATGAAGAAGAGGGGACACATGTTGATGTAGAAGAGACATGAAGAAGAGGGGACACATGTTGATGTAGAAGAGACATGAAGAAGAGGGGACACATGTTGATGTAGAAGAGACATGAAGAAGAGGGGACACATGTTGATGTAGAAGAGACATGAAGAAGAGGGGACACATGTTGATGTAGAGAGACATGAAGAAGAGGGGACACATGTTGATGAAGAAGAGACATGAAGAAGAGGGAACACATGTTTGATGTAGAAGAGACATGAAGAAGAGGGGACACATGTTGATGTAGAAGAGACATGAAGAAGAGGGGACACATGTTGATGTAGAAGAGACATGAAGAAGAGGGGACACATGTTGATGAAGAAGAGACATGAAGAAGAGGGGGACACATGTTGATGTAGAAGAGACATGAAGAAGAGGGGACACATGTTGATGTAGAAGAGACATGAAGAAGAGGGGACACATGTTGATGTAGAAGAGACATGAAGAAGAGGGGACACATGTTGATGAAGAAGAGACATGAAGAAGAGGGGACACATGTTGATGTAGAAGAGACATGAAGAAGAGGGGACACATGTTGATGTAGAAGAGACATGAAGAAGAGGGGACACATGTTGATGTAGAAGAGACATGAAGAAGAGGGGACACATGTTGATGTAGAAGAGACATGGAGAAGAGGGGACACATGTTGATGTAGAAGAGACCTGAAGAAGAGGGGACACATGTTGATGTAGAAGAGACATGAAGAAGAGGGGACACATGTTGATGAAGAAGAGACCTGAAGAAGAGGGACACATGTTGATGTAGAAGAGACATGAAGAAGAGGGGACACATGTTGATGTAGAAGAGACATGGAGAAGAGGGGACACATGTTGATGTAGAAGAGACCTGAAGAAGAGGGGACACATGTTGATGTAGAAGAGACATGAAGAAGAGGGGACACATGTTGATGAAGAAGAGACCTGAAGAAGAGGGACACATGTTGATGTAGAAGAGACATGAAGAAGAGGATTTTGCATAATAGGTGACCTGTAATGTGTTTCCTGTCCTGCAGGACCTGAGCGATGGCATCCGTCAGATCTCCTCCTTCTTCGGCTACACTCTGACGGAGGCTCAGGTGCTTCAGATCTCAGACGGCAGCACCTTCTCCGCCATGAAACAGAGCTCCGCTAACTCCCATGAGGCTTTGGGGGACGTCATCTTCAGAAAAGGTGCCTTGCATACGGTCTCTTTATCAGTCATTATGAAGCAACAATAGCCACAGACGGCTTAAAGTTGCCTCCTCTTCCCGCTTAGTAAATCCATTATGGAACACAACTTCTACAATACATTTCAATAAATTAGTGATGGAAGAAGTGCTCAGATCCTTTGCTTGAGTAGAAATGGTAACACAACCTTAAAAATACTCAATTACAAGTTAAAGTGCTGTTTTAAAAATGTTACATAAATAAAAGTACCGAAGTAACATCAGCTAAATGTACTTCAAAATGTACTTAAGGTTGCAAATACTTAATGTGCAGAATCGCTCAAAACGTTTTGTATTAATACAAATATGATATCATTTGTTTTTTAACATAAACAAATGAGGTTTTTTCGAGACAGAGTGAATAAGCATATTTCCCGAAATGTTCAACTGTTTAAATTATGTTTAAATGCTCAACGAAATGAGGTCTGATATTCCACTATTAATATACAAGAACTTCAGTGTTGCAGATAAAGAATACTTCTTAATTATTTTTAAGCAAATTAACGAGAAATCGGTGAAATCAGAGGTTTTAACTGTGAGATATTTGTGTCCCTGCAGGCGAGGTGGGCGACTGGAAGAACCACTTCACCCCCGAACAGAGCCGAGAGATGGACGCCGCCTTCAACAAACAGCTGGCAGGAACCAGGCTGGGAGCCAAACTCAACTACCAACGCCACTGCCAGTAGGGAGCAAGGGAGCAAGGGGGGAAGGAAAGAAGGAGGAAACAAGTGCATTATGAATGGCTGTTTTATTTACTCCACTCCAAACTTTGGTTGAAAAGTTTCAAATCTTGCAGCTCACAAAACGGGCAAATTGTTGTTTTATGGATACTTTTTCTTTGTGCTAAGCTAACTTCGCTATATAATAAGAGTTTATATTTTCTAATCTTACTCTCCACCAGAAACCAGTCCTTGCAACACCTTAGGAGCGGCAACATTTGGGTTCACTTGAAGTTAATCTGTGCACTAAACACAAACATCTGTGAATAAAAAAAAACACAGCTCATCGACACAGGAAACATACAAGAAATATATCTTCTGTGGGGAATAATGAACATGCATTCAGATGCTTTTACACACATACAAATAGATTTGAACATCAGAAAGTTCACCTGAACATCAACAGAGTTTGGGGTTTGTGTGCAGCTATACTTCATATTGATATGAAATGCTAATCTGTGCAGCACATTTCAAAGCAATACAAACAAGCTATATAAAAAGTAAAAAATGGCACAATACGAAACAAATAAGACCATTTAAAGATAAGGAATTACAATTTGATCCAGCAAAACATTATCATAGTGAAGTGTTAAGGTATTAAAAACACACTTTGATTCACCTTAATGCTTTTAGGATTTAACACGTGTTGCACCCAGAATAAAAAAATGAAAGAGACATACAGCAATACCATTTAAAAATGAACATATCATTTAAAAATCAAACATGATTGTCACACAATGAAAGTGGACCGAGGTAATACAATCCTGATGGTGTTTTCTGAAACGTGTGTGCATCTACAGGTGTATTTGTTTTCAGCCCATTCCTGTTGGCTCTGATTCAGGTCTGTATTCAGTCACATCAGAGATGATCAGATATACTGGGTGTGATTGTATTCAGCAGCTAAAATCAGGAGCACATTAATGTTACTTCTCAGGTTGTTTGACTATGTTTAAAAAACACATTTAACATTTGAATTATTGTCAAACTGGCAGCTACCTGTCTGAACTCGTGGGAAAACGCACGTCATTCTGGTTTTTGAAATTGTGGCTTTTATACAACTTTGTGAATACGGGCTTTTATACATTTGCACAATCACTGTTTATTCTGTATGGTTATTACATGCAGTGCATCACTGTACATGATCACGATTAAAATAACACCCTTTTCCAGACCACTTACTTCATCTCCATTTCTTTGACTCCATCTCACATAAGTGGAACGCAGGAATACGAGGATGTGTATCCTTCTTTTATAACTAGTTTGCTATGCCCTAATGCAGGGGTCTCAAACTCTTGGTCCGGGGGCCAAATCCGGCCCGTCACTTCATTGTATGTGGCCCACAAGAGCTTGCAAAAAGTATACTACGTTTATTATAAGGTTACGTGCTGCTTTACAGGATCACGTTGCCCATAAACTACATGTCCCACAATGCATTTCATTTTGTGAGATGGCACTGAAGAGACTTGCAATTACTTGCAATTATTTGCCCTAGACTTCTGCTTTTAGACATAGTTAATTATGAAGTTATTAACCTATCCGATAATAATCCAATGCAGAGGAAATATTGTAAAATAATACATTTATTTTATACATATTATATATATTTAATTTATCCATGTATATTTATATAGTCATAGAGGCTACTACAGTGGACAGCTTTTCAAAAGGTGTTTTCTTGTATATGCATGGGTTTTGATTGCATAGTTGCACCGTCAGCCACTACATAGGACCCTATTGCATCATCCACACTGCCACTCAGTGGAAAGTCAGTGTAAGTGCATGATACATTTCTCTAAAACCAAGAGGAACGACAGAAAGCCAGATGGACCAAGTCACCTGCCGATATCCTGCCAATAATCCTTTTATGGAAAGCGCCCCCTGCAGGTATAAAACATTTGGTGACATCAAGTAACAACTAATGAATCATATAATTCATAAATTGTCAAAGTATTGATTTGATGTTCGCAGGAAATTATGATTATTCACCTGTCCACTAAAGTGGACGTCATGCATCACTGGCTATATTTACTACAATTCATACTGTTACTGCTACTGTTCTTCTTGAAAATACTTCATCTGCAATATCTTTTTGGGCCTTAAATCATTATACTTATGTTATTATAATTTAATTTTAAGTTTGCAAATCTTTATTTCTCATTTTTTCCAAATTTACAAGTTTTCAGTTCAGACTTTAACGACTTAAATAAAATCCTGAGTGAGGCTTTCTCAATTCATGCATGCAATTGTTAAAGTTACCACCGGCCCTTTGAGAGCAACCATCATTCAAATGTGGCCCACGATGAAATTGAGTTTGACACCCCTGCCCTAATGTGTTATATAGACCAGTACCACTAAGAACTTTATGTATGTTTAGATAAATATAATGATGCTATTGCTGAAAGATAATTCAAAAGTGTTTAATTTCAGTAAAAATAAATGCAAAGTATGTAAACACACTCATGATACTTTAACCCTATATTTCACCATTACACTGCCGATTTAAGACGTGTTTTTTTTTACAGACAATACAATTACATATTCTAATTGTATGATATTATGATTGTTCAGGTGCAATCAAACACTCCCAATTAGTCATTATTATAGTGTAGGTAATATAGTATTGTTAAGGTTATTATAAATATACAATATAACTAAGGGAACAATACTAACACAAGATTTGACAACACCTCCTTTATCGAGTAGAACCTAAAAGATTACAAAAACTCAAATAAATCTTTAAATTCAATGAAAATTCAAACCGGAAGTGCTTCATACTACTTAGAGCAGGGTTGTCAAACTCAATTTCTTCACGGGCCACATTAGCATTATGGTTGCACTCAAAGGGCCGGTTATAACTTTAAGACTATATAAATATTTAATATATATAAAATAATGTATTATATCACATTATTGCCTCTGCATTGGATTATTATCGGATAGGGTAATAACTTCATAATTAACTACGTCTGAAAGCAGAAGTCTAGGGCAAATCATTGCAAGTCTCTTCAGTGAGAATGTCACAAAATTATTTAAAAAAAATCTAATTCTGAGAAAAAAGGAATATTTTGAAGAAAAAGTCAAATTCTGAGAAAAAAAGTCAAATTGAGATGCATTGTGGGACATGTAGTTTATGGGCAACGTGCTTCTGTAAATTGACATGTAACCTTATAATAAACATATTATATTCTTTGCAAGCTCTTGTGGGGCCGCATTAAATGAAGTCGCCGGCCGGATTTGGCCCCCGGGCCTTGAGTTTGACACCCCTGATTTAGAGTAAATATCATATGTTTTCCTCTGAAAGGGCTGACCGGAAGTAGTTGATGTGATGCTAACTTAACGGCTGGTCCACCGTGAGTCTCGTGAATGAATGACATCATGCTGTCGGTCTCCATCTGCGACATGACACCTGCAGACACTAACGGTGAGACGTTATTATTTACAACCTGCCGTTAAACCGGTAAGAGCGACGCGTTCACGGTTTTCGATTTACATAATGATTCACAGAAGGGTTTCTGTTAGCTAGCATGCTAACGTTAGCCTCAGTGAAAGCACCCAGGTAGAGCTAGTGCTGCTAAAGATGCTAAAGATGGAGGTGAGAGGAATTCACCTGTTAGTCTTATTAAAATGGGAATTTTCCTTTTTTGAGGAGGAGCATCCATGTTGGGAACATTTCCAAATCAATGTAATGCTACATGATGGTACATTGATTTAATTAAATGAATTGTGTTATCAACTAATTAATGCCACTTCTGGTCACATGTGCATCTTTTTTTTTACTACAGGCTATTTCAACACCTACATTTGAATGCATGAGTGTTATTGATCTAATGATGTTATATAATAGTGTAACAATCACAGGGGACACGGCCTACTGTAACACGAGACAGTACAGTATAGTTATGGCAATGAATATCTTCAGTGCCAGTCTCCTTCAACAATGCAACATACATATATATATTAACATAAAATAATGCAAGAAGATTTTGCTTGCAAGTCACCTATGTGCAGGTAATGCAGGAGAAGTAGATAGAATAAGATGAGCTAAATACAGAATATTACATTACAAATACTCTACAAGGATAACATATTGGTTATTGTAGTAATGAATAAATATGTGAAGTGCAAACAGGTCAGGCCGATTGTCGAACCTCAGATTGAGGAGGAACAATGCGGATTCCGTCCTGGTCGTGGAACGACGGATCAGCTTTTTACTCTCGCAAGGATCCTGGAGGGGGCCTGGGAGTACGCTTATCCGGTCTACATGTGTTTTGTAGACTTGGAGAAGGCGTATGACCGAGTTCCCAGGGAGTTACTGTGGGAGGTGCTGCGGGAGTATGGGGTGAGGGGGTCTCTACTCAGGGCCATCCAATCTCTGTACTCCCAAAGCGAGAGCTGTGTCCGGGTCCTCGGCAGTAAGTCGGACCCATTTCCGGTGAGGGTTGGCCTCCGCCAGGGCTGCGCTTTGTCACCAATCCTGTTTGTAATATACATGGATCGGATTTCGAGGCGTAGTCATGGGGGGAGGGGGTCTGCAGTTCGGTGGACTAAGGATTGCACCACTGCTTTTTGCAGATGATGTGGTTCTGATGGCTTCATCGGTCTGCGACCTTCAGCACTCACTGGATCGGTTCGCAACCGAGTGTGAAGCGGCTGGGATGAGGATCAGCACCTCCAAATCTGAGGCCATGGTTCTCAGCAGGAAACCGATGGACTGTCCACTCCAGGTAGGGAATGAGTCCTTACCCCAAGTGAAGGAGTTCAAGTATCTCGGGGTCTTGTTCTCGAGTGAGGGAACAATGGAGCGTGAGATGAGCCGGAGAATCGGAGCAGCGGGAGCGGTACTGCAGTTGCTTTACCGCACCGTTGTGACGAAAAGGGAGCTGAGCCAGAAGGCAAAGCTCTCGGTCTTCCGGGCCATTTTCGTTCCTACCCTCACCTATGGTCATGAAGGATGGGTCATGACCGAAAGAACGAGATCGCGGATACAAGCGGCCGAGATGGGTTTTTCTCCGCAGGGTGGCTGGTGTCTCCCTTAGGGATAAGGTGAGAAGTTCGGTCATCAGGGAGGGACTCGGAGTTGAGCCGCTCCTCCTTCGCGTCGAAAGGAGCCAGTTGAGGTGGTTCGGGCACCTAGTTAGGATGCCACCTGGGCGCCTCCCTAGGGAGGTGTTCCAGGCACGTCCAGCTGGGAAGAGACCAAGGGGTAGACCTAGGACCAGGTGGAGGGATTATATCTCTTCGCTGGCCTGGGAGCGCCTTGGGATCCCCCAGTCAGAGCTGGTTGATGTCGCCAGGGAAAAGAAAGTTTGGGGCTCTCTGCTGGAACTGCTACCCCCGCGACCCGACCACGGATAAGCGGGAGAAGATGGATGGATGGATGGAAGTGCAAACAGATGGACACTTAACGTTAAGACACTTCACAGATCCCAGGAGTTTAGCAGTCTAATGGCCAGTGGGATAAAACTGCCCCTTATTTGAAGCAACGTTGACTTTTTCTTGTAAACACAGGCTTTCACTTCGGGACCATCAATACATGTTACCTTTGAATTGCACAACACCAACTTTCAGTATCTGCCTTCTAACGTTTTTGTATAGGCAAAAACTATGCCAAACAAGTTCAATTAAATGTTTAATATTTTTCAGTAGTTTCCATGAGAACCAGTAACTCCAAATAAAGTAGAATTGTCTGACTATACTCAACTACCGGGACACACCCACTTTTTATTGGATTTTACTCCCATTTCTTTCTTATATCGACATATTTATTTTAATTGAACACTCTTGGATTATTTCAATAGCTCCAATATTACGTGACCTAATGACCCTAAATCCCACTGGACAATTAGGACATCCCTCTTTGAGTTGTGGGCCGACACAACTTAATATTATTTACATTTTTGTTCTGACAGCCGTTCAGCTACATGTATGTTGGTGGTTTTGTTTGCACTGATAGCAAACACGTTCCTCTGGTCAGGAGCCCCTCCTGTGTTTTTGTTTGATGGTTGTGGGCCAAAATACAGATTTTCTGTCCCAGTCCAGCCCTGATTGAGTCCCTCTCTTGAGTAACTTCCTCTCTGTGTTGCAGGTGCAGAGTGATGCAGCAGAAGTTGTGCTCCAGAGGTTCTGGTTCTTTCCTCTCGGAGAGGAACGGCCAGGCCTGCGGCGCCTCCCCCTCCTC